TAGTCCCCTGTTTTTAGAAAGTGGATTAATGTTGCGCAGTTTAAGACAAAGTCTTTGAGGATTAACCATTTCTATAATTTGGTTGACTTTTCATTATGACGCGAAATTGTTCTAAAGTTATGCGTAATTTGGATAGTCATTGTTGAGGCATAAGGCTCGCTAGCTACTGAAAAGTCGCACCATTGAGGAAAGTGTAGACCATGAGAAGACTTCCTTCTGGGGAGTGAGGTTATTTTAACTTAAGCTATGATTGACATAAGTTCAGAACATTGATTTGTGGACATTGTGACCCAACTTTCTCGTGAGAGAATTGGATAAGTAGATCCGAAGAGATTTACCTTCTGCTTTTATGTTGAAAAGTTAGGAGCGCAAAAAAGGTTGCTAGTTCCAATAAATCTTTTACAGCCTAAAACAGTTATCCAAATAGTGGTTCTTAGATTTCGTCAAGCCATGATAGGCCAATGATGATCGATGAAGACCACTGAGGCACGATCAATAGTCCAAAAGAAGTTTTTCCTTACTTAGTCATTATGAGCCAGGAATTTATAGGGTTGTCGCCACCTAGGGAAGGTTGTCGCCACCTAGGGTGGGCAGTCCTCTGTTTTAGATATGATGGACATGGGTGATGTAATTTATATGCTCGAATGTACGATCCTTAGGGTTTGTTTTGGGAGAATTCCTGTTTTGTCTTCGATGACTTACATAAGGAATATCCTAGAATGATTTTAGATGCAAAATTGCAAACCCATTGACTTACCTATCGGTAAAAGCCAGAGCCTTAGCTATTGAGTGAATCCTTGGATTGTCTTTGGGAGAAACAGATGACCCATATTCCTTGATCTTTTCTTTGTTATGGGAGCCTAAAGTACGCTATGTGGGCGTATTCGGCATGATAAGTGTTATCTTTGGTAAATGGTCAACTGAGTTGTTTAGACATTAACCTTGCTTATTAGACTGTGGATAGAATGCTTTACGAGTAGTATATTAATTTGCTCCTTGTAAGATTCAATGCGCTAGTTGGGCGCATTAAGAATGAGCACAAATTGGTCACCAAAATATCTTTAGAGAGGTAATTGCGTAAGAGGTAGTGATCTTGAACCACTTCATGTGAGGCGCAAATGGTGGATTCCGTTGTATATGCTTATCGCAAGAGGTGCTGATAAGGCTTATGTTTGGAATCTAGAATTGCGCAAACTGTGGTCATATTTTTTAAATTGATCACTTATTTGTTATGAGATGATGGGATGTTGACACTATTATGGTTTGTGTCACAATGATTAGCAGATGATGATGTCAGCAGGCAAGATTGGCTCACTCACACGAGCAGTCACCCTTGGCGCTTGAGAGCGAGCAAGGATGAGACTAGTGATTTATTTTTTATTTGGAGCCAAGAGAGGCTTAAATTATCCACTATGCATGTCGCCTTGGGTACAACCAAGATGAGGTCGTGTTAAGGACCAAACATGGATGTTAGTACCCACTTTCCATGTTGTGCCTGTTATGATTAGCTAGATGCGAGATCTCATTTGGCGCCTGGAAGGCGAGCAAATAGAGATTTCGGGTTAGGCGCTAGAAAACGACTAGACTAAGATCTGTACGGTGCATCGAGTATGACGTCACTCTTTTGGAAGAGTTACTCCACCGTAACATGTATTCATACTATATGTGCTTGGCGACCGAGTAATGAGGTGAGAGAATGGATCCCTATTTCCTCACCGTGTAAGTCTTACGTGTCATTATTGATATGACTTTCATTTATGTATCCTTTTGTGACTTTTGACTATGTCATAAGGTAAGGGGTTGATGTTCTGTTACTTTGGTATGTTGCTTGCGGTCATGTATGATTCGGCCTTAAGGGACATCACTGGGAAAGCGGTCAATCCTAAACTAAATAGAACGAGGGCAAAAGGAAGATCATCTAGTATTACACCACTGTTGTATATTCATTGCCGGCAACTCACATCGCTCTGTATGAGAGGCGGATTGAGTGTAAATATATTGCAAGAATTGAAAGGTTCAAACATGCTCTTTTTTGAGGGATTAGAGATGTTTTATTAGACCCGTGTAATTAGATAGGTCTAGGGTATATGAGACACTATTTATGTTCTTTTTGGGTTGATATCTCTATGCTGGCTCATTTTGAGTTTCTAGTATAGAGCTCCCACATGCAGGTGTTCTCAGTAGTCGCACGGTGCATTGGCTAGTATGACATTGTTCATTTTTTGGGAGATTGAGATAGAGATGTAGCAGTGTCATGCCAACTCATGTGCAAGTAGGAGATGTTAGAAATTGGGCGCCCATGTGGCATGACCCTTTGAACTTGAACTTTTTGAACCTTATCTATGTAAGTTTGAATTTGAATTCAAAACTTATTTGGATAATCATTCAGGATATCTATATCTATCATATCAATAGATATGGATAGATGGATAGATAGATATTGGTTGATATATATTTAATAATATGCATTTGATATGATGTGAGATACGTATGTCAGATACGTTATGTGGTTTTTACCCATAACTTTTTTTCCCAGACTTTTTCCCTAACTCTCTCCCATATGAGAACGATCCAGTTTTGCACTGTGACTTGTGTGGGTGATACTCATTTTGTAGTATCACTCCACTGCTGAGTTGGATGTTCACATCCTGGAAGCATGTGATTTACTCACGAGATTCTTCGCTTCAGGCTCTACTAAAAGGTATGACTATGAAATATTTTAGTCGCTGCATTTTATACTTTGATTTACATATTTAATTCATAAGAAGGATGTATATACATATATATTTACATTCTAGCTTATGGGTTTGTTAAAAGAAAAGAAAAATGGAGAAGAGGAGAAGGAGAACTGAGAAGAAAATGAAGTTGTTGAAAATGAGGGTAAAATTATCAATTTACATCTTTTGTTAACAGAACTAAGTGTGCACTTCAATCCAGAAACTACATGGGAGTTATGTGGTAATTTCCAAATGTCAGGGGGATAAACTGCACCCAGCCCAAACCATAGGGGAATAAAGTGAAATTTGTCCATTTGTTATTGCATAGGAGAATAGTGTGTTTGTTCAAATAAAATTAAAAGAATTTTTCTGTAATATTCAAACAAGGGCCTCCGATTCCTCTAGACAATCACAAACCTTTGCCAGTTTTAAAGAGTTGCAACCTCTCTTTGGATCATTTAGAAGGTAGATTTTTTTCCCTTTTCAAATTTTTTTTTTATTGGCTCTGGATTTTAATGGTAGTTTAAAAACAAACTTCTGGAGTTTCTGAATTTGCATTTGCGAGTCGACTGCAATCAAATTTGTATGTGCATATATGTTAATTTTGTTTATAACATTCAATTGTCATGCAAGGTTATAACATTCAATTGCCAAATTTCGGTTACTATTATAGAAAAATTGTCACTCACTTTTCCAATTCATTCGATTTTCACTAATTCTTCCTGCATATATTCTGCATACTAAGTTTCCGAGAGTACATAACATAGTTTTTGGTTTACTGGGCAAATTGATTGTAATGTTGCTTCAACTTACGAATAGATCATTTCATCCTAAAAGATGAGATCCATAGATTTAAATCTACATAAACAAACCTGCACCATTTTCCGATTCAAGATTATTGATTAGATAAATGGTAGGGAAGAGTTGAGAGGGAACTGCATATAAACTACACATCATTAGCTGCCCTAGGGTTAAAGCAGAAATAATCTTCTTCACGGAAAAGCTTCCATTCCAAATTATTGTATAACTTGACATAATCCAACATTTGTTTAATAATGTGTCTAACTCGAAGACAATGTGTCTATTAGTTTGAATGCATTTAATAGATGGACAACTTTGAAAATCCTTACTATACTGTTAAAGTGTAAACATATTAACTCATTTGTTTTAAATTGGGATAGGTACGAAATTAGATGCATTCTTTATTTGTTTATTTATTTTTAAATTGATGAGGGGCCGATATTGTGATTTATGGGTGGAAAATTGAATTTAGGAAGGTGAGTAATCATTTAGTTTGTTGATCTGACATCACTGTAATTTATAATCTGCAAGATATTTGAGAAATTATTGAGAGGAGTTAGAATTCCATAGAGAAACTGATGGATTTGCAAAAATTCTGATTTATATCACTTGGGAGAACAGGAAAGTAGGTACTTGCAATTTGTACATGTTTGAAATGATTTGGCAATTCTAGACATAAGAGAGAATTTTTTATGATGGAGATTAATTTAGCTGATTAAATCTCTTACCGTTGATTGGAAAATTAGTACATTATTGAATTAAAATTGGCATATTCTAAGCTAACATAAAAAATTCATGTATTTGCGTGCAATGAAAAACAAATAGTTGACGAATAACATAGAATGGATGAACATTCAAATCTGATGCATTGCATTTAAAAAATTGTCCCATGTTCCCATCACAGAAATCGTATTTTGCCAGATAAAGAAGAAGAATAATTTCCTTATTTTAAAAAAAAATGTGAATGATAAACACAATTTTTGAAATTTGATACATATCCTATTATATCATTATGTGAAGAATTGTGGATACTTTTCTAAAGGTTTCGAATATTTTTCAGAGTATCACTGTAATTTTCCCAACATGAGAGCTATGCTACGCTACACTACACTACCCCAAAAAATAAAATTGAATAATTTGAGATGTTCTAATCTGTTCAAACACGCTTCTATTGTTGTGGAACTTTTTTCTTTTTTTCTTCTTTTTCCTTTTTCATATTATTAGCCTGTAGTTTTTTATAAGAAAAATAACATTGATTTGAGTTCATTTTGCAAAGCAATAAAATGCCATAATTGCTAAGTAGAAGATGGAAAAGCTGATGATGCCATGATCAGGAATTACCAGATTGTTTGTTGTAGTTTCTACTGTAAAAAATGTGATTTGTGTGTGTGTGCGTGCGCGCGCCCACATTTGAGATGTTCCTATTTGTTCAAACAATCTTTGTATGTTGGAATAAGGTTGCAGTTTTTATCATATTCCAGGTTATGTATTTCCTTTTACCTTTTATCATCTCTTTACTTAAAGGCTTTTATTTTTATTGGAATTCTTCTTCTTCTTTTATTTCAATTTTTATTTTTTATTTTTTATATTAAAAAAAATGGGATTCGTGCATTTTAATCTTAATATTATTTAAAGTTTGGTAGACTTATATGCCACCAAACTGGGTTCCATTTTTTTAAAAAAAAAAATTGGTGGGTTTGGATCCGATCAACATTCTTTATTTGTTTATAGATTTTTAAATTGAATGTTTAAATATGTTATCATACACTTGGACTTCATTCTAAGTAGTTTGCTTTTTGATTAAATGTGGTGACTATGGACTTCATTTTATCATGTTTGATTTCTACCTCCTCCTCCATCATATAACAGAGTAAAATTGATTTGTTAATTAGGTATTATTTGGATATCACCACCACCACAGCCACCGTCATCGTCTTTGCTTCAAACCCCCTCCGGTACCTCTTTCCCTCTCTCTCTCAAACCCTGTGTCTCTAAGGTTTAAATTGATGTTCTTTGTGGCTATGTCTGTTCAAACCAGTGAGAAAGAATGTCTTTGTTATAGTTCTCTCTCAAATCCTGTGTCTCAGATGTTTAAATTGATGTTGTTTGTGGCTGTGTCTGTTGAAACCAGTGAGAAAGAATGTTTGGGTTCATTATGTTTCGTGACGATCTTGATGATGCATTGTGTGGTGTTGTTAGAAGATGTATAAGAGTAGAGTATTTATTGCTACATCTTTGTTACATTTGTGATTTTAATTTGTTTAGTTATGCAATATTGGTAATTGGTAAGTTGTGGTGAGTTCCATTTATTTAGGATTTAGCTTTACTCTTAGAACTGGACTACTACAAACTTTGATGAGATATTTATGCTATGGATGATATGAGACAATGGTGATTACATTTTTGTACCGTATTAACCTTTTTAATATGAATGGATATTTATGGTCAAATGCTGTATTTAATTCCAAGTGTTAATTGAAGAAGTTTGGAATTGTTGTTCATTTTATTGAGTATTGGAATTGCAAGGTGGTCAACTTAATTTTAGATGAAGCTGCTAAGAGGCCAACATAAATGCTTTAGATAATACAGTGAGGTGTAATGAAAAAAACTTGGTTAGATATGATTTAAGAAGAGTATAGTTTTGCATGTTGAATGGGGTGGAAAAGATTTCATGTTGCCTACATCAAGTATACAGGAGTGGAGGCAACTCGAGTGTTTTGTTTCAGTATTATTACTGATTGTAGTTAATGTGCGCTTTGTTTTTTTGACGTTTCCAATTTCCACATGTATATATATATATATTCATATGTGTGTTCAAATTTATCTCATCCGAATTTAATGCTTTAATATGACATTTTGTATTTTATGTTTCAGTGAGGCTCCTTGGACTCTTCAATTGATTAATGTTCTTTTGCTAGCAAGGTTGAAGGTTTTATGCAGCAAATTAGCAGAGTTTGATTGATTTATTAATAAAGTTTGGCTGCTTGAAATGTATGGTCAGGGTAAAGATCACTCTATTTCTTATGTTTGATTGCTAACACACAGACTCTTCACATTAAGGTAAAGACTCTTGGCTCCAAATTAGGTGGGTCTTTCCTGTTTGTGTTTTCTGCTTTTAAATTGGTCTTTCATCTAAAAAAATTTCAAATTGGTCTTTCCTGTTTGGAAGATTTGGCATTTGTTTTCAGAAATCTCACCAAAGGTCTTTACGATATTTAATAAGGCCATGATTTTTGGGCTTTATATGTGTATCTCTATGAACTTTCTTTTTTCTCTTTTGAAATTTTTGACATTATACTTTAACTACATGTCTCTTTTCAGTTATGATATTAAGAAAGATGTATGAAACTATGGATTTAAAAGGAATGTATGAAGAGGAGTTGTTTTGAGGAGTTGCATTTTTGCTTCCCATCTTACTTTGTTGTTGTCTACTGCATAAATTTTTTTATGCAAGAAGTTGTGATGGATGTTAGCATCCATATCTTTTAGAGAGAGAGTCATTTGAATCTTCGACTAAATCATTATGTGCTTCACATTACATGCATTTGGATATGAATAAGGTTTCCAACAGTGACGTGTGTGTGTGTGTTTGTATATATATATGAAACTGTAATGTTGAATCAGTATGACACGTGAAACAGGAGTATGAAAACATCATATTTGGCCTCATGATCACTTTGGAGGACCATCAACTTGGTGATTCACTGGGTTCCATTTTTTTTTAAAAAAAAATGGTGGGTTTGGATCCGGATCAGCATTCTTTATTTGGTTATTTATTTTTAAATTGAATGTCTAAATCTAGGGAATCAATATCCTCAATTGGGATAGTAATCCCATTATTTAATATGTTATCATACACTTGAGCCATACCAAATCACAGAAATATCCACCAATCCCATTTTGATTTATGGGTGGAAAATTGGTGGGTTTGGCGTTTTCCACCCATAAATCACAATACCGGCCCGAAATGGAGTACTTGGGTTATGTGTACAATTGTGGATACTTTTCTCAAGGTTTCAATTATTTTTCCGAGTAACTTTGTAATTTTCCCAACATGAGAGTTAGGCTACACTACACTACCCAAAAAAATAAAATTGAATAATTTGAGATGTTCTAATTTGTTCAAATCTGTTTAAATAGTGTTGGGAACAAATTTAAATTTAAATAGTGTTGGGATTAAATAATAA